TAGTTCTTGAATTTTGTTTTTTTCATGATATAAGCCATCAATCATGAAGCTAGAACAGGAGCAAACAACTACTTGTAAGTTCCCTGAAAACCTAGGAAAGCAGCGCAGAGAGTCAGACGGCAGCGCCACTCCTGAAGTTGCAGCTTACGCCGAAACTCCGGATTGTGTTGGTTGTTCGGAGGAGAAAGTTGAACTAGTCGAAGTGTTATGGCATTTGAAGTAACGTTGCTAACCCATTAGTTGAGAACGAGGGCAATGAAGAGGGACCTAATGTGTTGCTGACCAAACCTGGGAGTGATGATGCTGTTGGGTGTGTTCAGTTCCCGAGTGCAGAGTTTCTGCGTTGGGCGACCGTTGTCAAGGACAGTCGCGTCGAGGACGCGTAGCGCCTGTTTGACGGCACGGGCATTCCCTTAACAATCGATGGCGCATAATATCTTGGTGCTGCAATCGGCACACCTCAAATCTGAGCAGTTTGTGGAAAAAAGGACAGAAGTAGTCAAATAAGGTGCGTCGACTTGCCGTTATAGCCAACAGCCAACCACAATCGGCCTACGCCGTGCTGCCCCAGACTTGGCAAATTAATGTTCATTGGTGTGCCATTGCATGTGGATTTCAGAATTGCTGCTGGGGTCTCTTGATGTAGTAGTAGTATTCTTTTATTAATAGTGGAAAACCAAAACAGGCAGCTGCCTAATAACAATGGACCCACTGTGTAGGGTGGAGGAGGGGGGGGGGGGGGGAGACATGGCTAATGGTAAATAATAATAATAATAATAATAGTACAGCACGCATATAGCTCATATGAAAAATCAAATGAGGATCATGCATCTGTCGACAAGGCCGAGCCAGTGCGTTCTGTCTGAGGCAAGTTGCTCCGCTTCCAAAAGAGACATATTGAGAAGTAAAATGTCATTCCTAATGTTGTCTACCCATCTGGTCACTGGGCGACCTCTGGGCTTCTTTATATCTGTTATATTCATTGCCATGTGAAGGGTTTTGTAGGACACAGCGTCCTTCCCTTCACGAATGACATGTCCAAACCATAATAAGCGCCGGCGTCTACAGACTGCACTTATTGGGCATTGAGCAGTTTTAGCATAAAGAGCATTATTCGAAATTTTATTGGGAAAGATGATTCCAAGTATGTATCTGAGTTTACGGGGGGGGGGGGGGGTAATGGTAAATAGTGGCGGCGAAATAGAGCAGTTCCAGCACAGCTACAGAAACATGGGCGTAAAGCTAAAAGCAGGCAAGAATGTGTTGCAAAGCGCTTGACTCGAAGGCGGCCAGGTTGGTGACACCTCGGATATCCGCATGAAGGGAATTCCAGAGAACTGCGCCAGCATGTGTCACCAATTTGGTAGAATGTGCAGAAGCAGCTTCAGGGACGATAAGATGAAGCCATTGAAAATGACATCATTGACAATGACCTCATTGACAATGACCTCATTGATAATGACCTCATTGATAATGACATCATTCCAGCTCTGACTAGTCGTCCTCAGCCTGGCGACAGTTTTGAGCAGCCTCTTTGTTTTGCCGTGCCGTCTTGTGTGAATTAGGTATCAGAAGTCTACTGTAAATATACAAATTTTCGGCAGCTATTTAATTTCGGCTATATTCGGCACCGACCCAAAACGCCTAAATTAAAACGCCGATGAAATTTTTCACAGCATTTGTCGCAATACCATGCCCTCTACCCTACGCCGAATATAAATCGCCGCCGAAATGTCAAAAATCGTGAAGTGCCGAAATTTTGCAGCCCCGAAATTTTGTATACTTACAGTATGTATGTTAACCCAAGAGTATTAGTCTTCTTCTATACTTATCATATTAGGCACGAGTGAACGGCAGAAGCCGGTTTTCGAGAGGAGAGTTGCATGTCAGTGCCCTCGGTGTCATATTTCGTTCCGGAGCCGCAGTGGCTTTGCTGTGGGTCGTTTCTCCGCCTCATGCATGGCACCGACCGCATCAGCTGCTGCTGGCACCGTTGATTCGACTGCTCGAAGTTGCTGCAATACTCACTGTGACATCTGCAATCGTTGTTTCTTCTGAACCCAAGGACGCAACCGACATCGCTGTTCAATGCACTGCCACCGTCCAACAGCTCGAGAACGGGACAAGTTTTCGCATTTTTGTACTTCCTCCGTATACAATAATTTCGTGACTTTTTTGAAGGCTGCGCACAGCTCTGGAATTGTTCTGTTTGACTTGGAATAACACTCGTGGCATTGTCTAACCTGTATACAAGCTATATATATATAAAGAAAAAAGCAAGTCAAACGAATGAGATTGAGATTTTCAGAGTCTTCGGCACTCGTGTCATTGTCACCTGCCGACGCTGACTCTGCATCGCCAACAGTTGCTGCTTCCGCTTGAAATTCGTTCAGATTCTTTTCAGCTGCAGTGACGATCCGACGCAGGACTTTGGCTAAGTCCTCTTCATTTCCAGAACTGTGTAAGAATCGGTGTTGACTATATTCAGTTCTTCCAACCCCAACCTCCATTATGCCGGAAAACGAGTCGCTCAGCCACATTCACAAGCATGGCATCTTCTCGGCCGGAAAATCCTCCCAGCATTCTATAACGGCTTCGAGGAGGTCCCTGCGATTCCCCTTGGCGACGAAAGAGATGTCTGACTTGAGAGAGGTGAAGAAAACCAGGTCGTCGACATTCCGATCCGGAGTCTGCTCTGGTTGCACGACGACTGAAATGTTTCATGCTGCCGTGCGAGCGGAACCGATTTATGTTCTCACGCTGCGTATGGGGCCGCGCACCGCAAGTACGAGCCAGACCAGCATCAGGGCAGCGAGTGCCGCGTCACGTGTTCCCGCCACGAGCTCCACTTCGTCATGGTGTCAGTTTCGAACAAGTGAGTGTTATTTTTTTCATTTGACTCGTAGTTTCCTGTCGGCAACGTCCTGACACGCATGGCTTCCGTTGAGAATCTGTTCGGGATCAACCAAACTTACCTCAACATGAATGTGGGTTATCAATGGCAACCTTTGGCGCAGTTCGTTGAGCAGGGTCTTTCTCGCTCCACATATACTGGCACACACACACAGACTAGACAGCAACAGCGACAATACAAAAAGTGAAGGGTAGTTGGCCGCAGCCAGATGTGAACCGGATATTGAGTGAGGCATGGAAGCAAGGACTGAGAACAGAGCAGTGGCGTGTCAAGGATTTGGCAAAGGGGGGGGGGGAGGGGGGAGTTGCGGACGGGATGGGGTGGGAGTAGATGACATCATGCTACTGTCACAGGTCAGCCAAATTGAAAACCGATGTCAAGGAGCCGTAAATCTCACACACAACTTAGAGCAGTGTTTCTGTACACGTAGCAACATTGTACATTGTAAACTTCAAATTTGCCGTATTGTGAGCGAATCAACTGCATGCAATGCGATTCCAACAATTTCTCACCGCTCAATGCATCCTTTACATAGGCAGCGGTACTATGTCCACTTGTCACTGTGCGCTGATCTTCATGTTTTGGCTGCTCCCTGACAACAGGTGCTTCCACGTCTGGCGGAGTGTGACTGTCAGTCCGCTCCGAAAGTTCAACTGGAATAACAGAGACTTCATCATTCGCACTGTTTCCTGTTGAAGCAGCAGCAGGAGTTGTGCCGCCACAGGAACGCTTTGCAAAAATCCATCCAGGCTCTGCTGGCTAGAGCTTGGCCTTTTGGGATGTTGCTGAGACATCGAAGAAAAATCTTCGAGTCAACCAAAACACGATTTGAGCGAGGATGATCGCCTGAGCCCTTGGCATTCGAATCGTGTATTGGTTGATTCGAAGACCCTTTCTTCGATGTTTGTACGTTGAAGACGCGCCGAGCGCGTCCCCGCAGGGATCACACTACACAACAGTGCAGTGTACACAGTCAGGTCACCGTCTTTCTGTAGCCGTGCATGCTCAATGTACTCTGTAGACTGTACTCTGGACTGTAGTGTGTACAATCAACACCAGCTTGACCACCGTACAGTGCAACCGCTTTTGGACGATCGTTTCAGGCCGCGCACGCGCCTAGCAAGCTCTGCCTTCTATTTTTCGAAACCTTTGAGGTGGCGGGGTGGGGGGGGGGGGGAGGGGCGACCCCCCGTGCCCCCCCCCCTCCCCCGCCTAAACCTCCCACTGCAGAGTGTCTCAGATAGAATAGGCATTGTCAGAAATAGGCCATGATGCAGAACCACTTAGTCAGCCGGGAAAAAACCCTCGCGCCGACGGACGCAGCTGTGACAGAAAAAACAGGGTGTATATCCCCAATGGCGAATAGGCATCATGTTGGCATGGTAAGCACATCACGGCAAAAAGTGATAAAAAGCAATGAAGATATGCACAGAAATGAAGGGCAGGAGGGCAGGGACACTGGTGAGACTCAAAACTGACTGAATAAATCAGGAAAAGAAGCGACAATAAAGGACACACCAGATGTCCTATTTGCTGCTGAAAATGTTTCGCGAGGAATCATTTCTCACCCATCTCGCTGCGCTCGGCCGGCGAGAAATACAACTGCTCAAAAACACCGTTGAAAAAAGTCACGAAGTCTTTGTATACGGAGGAAGTATCTGCTCTCGCCGGTTCCGACTAGTCTCGTATTTGGAGCGCCATCGGGTGGCGTCCTCTTTTTCTCTCTCTCTCTCTTTCTCTGCTGCCCCTACGGGGCCCACGTGACCCTTATGGTAGTGGCTCCCTCGTGACAGGTGTGTGTGTGTATGTGTGTGTGTGTGTGTGTGTGTGTGTGTGTGTGTGTGTGTGTGTGTGTGTGTGCGTGCTGGTGTGTACGCGTGCGTGCGTGGGTGTGTGCGTAAGTGTGCATAACTGTGTTGGTACAACGTGTGGTGTTGTTATGTTGATAAGAAGTCTGCGGTGTTGTTGTGTGGGTATGCTGTGTTGTTGTGTGGGCATGCTCTGTTGAGTGGTGTTGTTGTGTTGCTCTGTGCGCATGCTCTGTGTGGCGTTGGTGTGCTTGCTACACTGTGTGTGTTCATTACAGCCTCATCTTTCCAATGTACCACCAGCTGTTCTACGTCGACTGGACTCTATCTCCGAACAACTAACCCAGCAAGCTACATCCATCACTGCAATGTCGGCACGCAGTGATACGCTAGAGAAACAGCTTACAGCGGCCATTACCAACAACCAGACCACCACACAACAACAACTTACTGCCACAAGTGAGCAAGTATCCACGATTCAAGACGAACAGAGTTCAGCAACGCAACGACATACTGAACATCTGGAGGCCATTGCTGAAAACCAGACCATGATGAAAGAACAACTGACTGCTACTCAACACACTATACACAACGAACAAACCACCACAAACCGCCGAGTACATACTCTCGCCGACCAGCTGCGTGATATGAACGAACAGACTTCCCGACGGATGACAACGTTGACGGACCAGATTTCGGCGGTTTCTGGCCAGCTTACAACGATGTCTGCATCCATCCATCAGGTATGAATATTTAATCCCAGAAATAGAACGTTAGTAAATATTTGAGAAGGCGGTGATGTGCCAGCAGTTTAGGTATTGCAATAAACAGAATCAGCTGAATATCTTTATCAGATTAAATGTTCATCCTGAATGAAAATGTTGAACCAGACACTCTATTTACAGTGATAAAAACTGGTTACAGCATGTGACCCATGTTACTGGTGCTTCCCATTCTTCAGTCTCAGATGAACACTTTCAATTTTGCAATAAATCCTATCATAAGATGGTAGTCCTTGATGCAGTCACTGTAGACCATAGATTGGTGAAGGCTCCTAGTGGCTGAAGTAGTTTGCACAGCAGACACCATCCCAAACATGAGGGCATGCTGGACTTTTTGTAGAAGATAAGGAAATCAGACAACTGCAATCCGTGCCAGCAATCAGGTTTATAATTATGGCGGGCTGGGCTATAGTGTATTGAACTTTTATGTAACTCGTCTTGACGGAAATTGATGGGTGACTGACTACAGGGGTTGACGTTATTGTGTGTGCATACACTCACATCACGTGTGTGTGTGTATGTGTGTGTGTGTGTATGTGTGTGTGTATGTGTGTGTATGTGTGTGTCTGTGTGTGTGTGTATGTGTGTGTGTGTGCGTGTGTGTTTGTGTGTGTGTGCGTGTGTGTGTTTTAGCTGCAGATAAGGCCTACCACTGCACCAAAAAGCCTGTCAAGTTCTGCTTCTCCCACTGCCTCAGTTACAACAGCTGTGGTAAGTTGAGCAACAGTTTTCTCTGCAATGCCAGTTATACCCTAGGCCGGTTTTTCGGCCAATGCTTCGACACTGACTACAATAATACTTGGTCCCGCTCATCGCAATTGTCGCTTATCTATCGCCACTAAGAACAGGAGTTTTTTTACCGCTCTGTGAAATTTCCAATAGGCATAGTGAGGAAGCATGATACATGAATACTCTACGCCACAAGAACAAAATTTCAGCGATGGAATCTGGTGAAGCGAGTCGAAGAAAGGAAGCAAGGTATGCAAAATGCACGAAATAAATCAGCGAAGGAGCGTGTTCTTGCACTCACACTCTTACAGGTCCAGAGTTCATTCAACTCTCCATCACTCGAGCTGCCGCACCGTTACATGAGCTGACATTTGCTGGTGTCTAGCTGCTGGCGTAGACTAGTACAGTGGTAGAGTATCTCTTGCTTTCTCAGCCTGTCGTATGGCAGCAATGGGAAAGGAACAGTTGTGGCTGTCACTTCGGTGCTTGAAGGAACTGTGGGCAGTGTGACCTGTGTGTTACCACAGTGTGTTTCAACAAAGCCTTCGAATGAGGAATACAGGCCTCTCCAGACAGCTTTCATACGCTCCGCTGGATACGCTGACCACGACTCTTGTAATGCTGCTGCTAGGTCCACAGAGCGAAGGAACAACCAACACGTCGGCCGGGCGCATCGCATCAAAAACTCCTTTCTTCTTCAGCATGACGCTCATACTCCTCTGCCGTGCTCGGTCGTGCCTGTCACGCTCTCCAGGATGTCAGTTGCCCCTACCACAGTTCCGGTCTTCCAGTCGCTGCGCTTGGATTCTTTTTGGCAACACAGACAGATTCCCACTTCCCAAAAAAATCGAACACATCGCGATTCAAAGTGCTAGTCGCGATCATTTTTCTTTGGTGCCTCCTTTGATCTTGCCATCACAACCTCCCAAGCAAAAGTAAGTTAGATATCTTGATTGGACTGGGTTTTACCTGTTAAAAAGTGCGTGGGAGATAAGCGACAATTGCGATGAGCCGGACCAAGTAGGTGGACTGTGTCTGAAGAGTCGGACTACCTATTCAAAACACAACAGTTAGCTATTTCACTTGTAAACAAGTCTGTGCACACACATACAAATTGTACACAGCCACATTAGAGAGTGGTAGATGCCAGAGCGGAGATGTGATCGTTTTTATAAACACAAGCTACAGGGTCAAAAGTATGAAAGGACTTGTTCACAGTCTGCACCTACACTTTCTGCTGTCATGACGAAATTCCTTGTTGGAGGCCTACTCCAACACGTGAATGCACTAAATATCAGCAAACCTTTGGGTGAAATATCGACCCTGCGATACTTGGCCGAAAAGTCATATGATAAGAAAATCGTAGAAGATTTGTCAGAATCTTTTGTGACAACGGAGTTCACATCAAGTGATTTTCGCCCTCATTTTGAAGCATTTTCTCGTATGATTCCATATCAGCCGGGAAATTGTCCTATCCTTCTCGTTATGTGCAGTAGGATCGTTGCATTCCCGTTTCTGGCAATTATATTTGTCGCCGTCAATCAGCGTCATGAGTGTCCTGTCGCTTCTAACTGCGTGTTACGTCGCGCCCTTTCCAATGTGAACTAGTCTTTATCACCCGCCATGTCACCCCTCAACCTGATTGCAGGTAGTAAAATTCATAATGCCCTCCCTGACATGCACCACCCTATAATTATACCAATACAACTTTCACATAACCGGGTATCCTCTAGAATCCACTCCGACATGCGGTCACTATCGGGTATCAAACTTTTAAGAGAACATATTATATCCAAAGAGTGTGTAGCTCCCTACATGGGAGCTCGCGGTTTACCTGCCGACTTGAATTCTCACTTGACTGACTCACGACTGCCATCCAGAGCACACGAGAAATCCATCGAACCGTCCACTCGGCAAACCTGCAGGAAAGCACCACTCCCTGTCCAATACACAGTGTTTCGGGGAATTCACCCCTCATCAGTTAAGCTTGAGTAGGCTGAGGAAGATTGTGCCTGAAGAGCACCACTTATATAGAGCTCTCCCGGCATAAACATCACCAGGGATACAAACTTACAGAGACGCTCCGTTTTTCAGCGCGACAAACACCTCGTGAACACCAGATAGCAGTGTGAGTCAGTGTCTCTTATTGAGGTGCTGAACAAGCGCTGAGAACCGTTGGCCATTCACAACGTTGTTGCCTCCAAACAATCTAATTCGCAAGCCCGCCCTTGGGACAACAATGTGAAGAAGAGGTTGGTGCGACTTCAGCGATAGTTTGGGAAGAGTGTGTTGCTCCCTACATGGGAGCTCGCGGTTTTCCTCCCTACTGGAATTCTAACTTGACTGACTCACGACTGTCGTCCAGAGCACACGAGAAGTCCATTGAAAGGTCCACTCGGCAAACCTGCAAGAAAGCACCACTCCCTGCTCAAAGCGCTCTGGATGGCAGTTGTGAGTCAGTCAAGTGAGAATTCAAATCGGCAAGAAAACCGAAGTCGCACCAACCTCTTCTTGACATTGTTGTCCCCAGCACGGGCTTGCGAATTAGATGGTTTTGAGGCAACAATGTTGTGAATGGCCAGCGGTCCTCAACGCTTGTTCAGCACCTCAATGAGCGACACGGACTCGCGCTGTTCGATGGACTTCTCGTGTGCTCTGTATGGCAGTCGTGAGTCAGTCAAGTCAGAATTCAAGTCGGCAGGTAAGCCGCGAGCTCCCATGTAGGGAGCAACACACTCTTCCCCTACTAACGCCGAAGTCGCACCAACCTCTTCTTCACATATTATATCCAGCATATTTTAGTATTATTTACTTGTATAATCATGCGAATGAACTTTTTGTTTGTGTGTATGTGTGTGTGTGTGTGTGTGTGTGTGTGTGTGTGTATGTGTGTGTGTGCATGTGTGTGAGTGTGTGTGTGTGTGTGGGTCTGTGTGTGTGTATGTGCCGGTGTGTCAAACTGCAGGTACCCGTCTCTAGTTCCATTGCTGCACAAGACAGCCGCTCAAGTTTAGCTCCTGCCACTGAACCTGCCCCTGCCTCTCCTACAGCAACGACAGTAAGTTGTACGACATAACCTAAATTGTAAAGCTGTGTTCCCAACTGGCGCGTGGACGTGGTACGCTTGCGGTTCATGCGTGCCCAAACGCGCGCTCAGACGTTCACCAAAAAACAGCAATCCGAGTCGTATTTAGCGCGTACGACACCTTCGAGTGCTAATTTTTGAAGACCACCACTGAACGTTACTGACATATACGCTGGTACACGCCTGATACGCGCTGAAAATTCCAACGTTTTGGAATTTCCATTTTGGCGTGTTGCCGTACTCATGGCGCCCCAAAATCTAGCAAAATACGCACAAATTCGTAGTTTCACGCGTGAACACAGCTAAAGCTATCGAACATTAGGATTCGATGTCGTGTAATGACCGAAAATATCCGCACGAGGCCAAATTTGCTATTATTTTGCCTAAATGTGGCTCCTATTGTATCTCAGATTTTGTCACATGGACCCACTGTGACAGCTAGGTGCAGTTTGGTGCATAGTTTCCAGTGCAACAAGCACCTCATGAATATCGGATAGCAATGTCAGTCAGAGTTGTTCATGGATAGATACATTGTCATTCGCAATGCTTTTGCCCTAAAACCAGCTAGTCCGAAGGCCATGCTAGGCATTGCTAAACCAGATAGTGGAAACAACTTCGGCGTTAATTGTAGAACATTTGAATGATCCCACATCGGAGCTCGCATTTCGGTGGATGATGAAGTTTGTACAGTGGACACCAACCCAAACATGAGGGCCTGCTGGACTTCTCAGGGTTCTCGATAAGGCGACATAGCGCGGCACTACACCCTCTTTCACTTTTTGACTGCCCCCTTTCAGAGAGAATGCTCCAACCTTCAGAGTGCGATCGCCACCTTTTTATATGCATTATAATTACACATCCTGTTTTAGCACAGCAGAGAATGGAGGCACAAGATGGCGGTAGAACTCACTAAATTGTGGGTCAGACGATCCGCACCCCCCCCCCCTCCCCTTCATTTTGTTCTGTCTATAAGTCGCATCAATTTATTTCTATGTTTCGCGTCATCGCGCTCGTACCTTTTCGAATTCTTGACAAGAAAAAAAAGAACCTAGACGAGTCAATCGATGGCTGTTCTGGCCCCCAATCTCTAGTTAGTATGGCATATCAGAGGTTATCAGCTATCCGATAATCTTGCATTCCACGCGATGGTACGTAGAAGGTGCAAGATAATGAAAATGTCTATTTCCCAAGTCATACGGTAGGGCCTGCTCACCAAGCGACCAGAGATTCCAGGTGTCTAGGACTTCGAGATGTTGCACGCCGTGAAGGAGCGGAATTCCACACGACTTTTGTCAAAGTGCAGAGGGAGCGATCCATGAAATCTTTGATTGTATTGCGCCGAGCCCAGTCTGCCAGTTGTCCTGTGGCGACTTGTTTTCGTTTAAGATATTAGTGACTGTTTAGTAGTAGTTTAGTAGTAATGGTGTTCTGTGTTTTTAACATTGCTCAGTAATAGGCATTTCCCAAATCGGCCTGCTTTTTTTTCGCCTAATCGGCATTGCGATCGCTAAGAAAATGTCTAAATTCGGCCATAATATGAGTCCCAGAGTCAGAATTCTGCTCAAAGCGGTACTTGAAGTCACTTCTCGCAGCTTACATGTAGATGTACGGTTACACGCACGCTGTAGAGGCACTAGAACATCCATTTCCGGCGATTTCATAGCGAAGTTTGAAAATTCGGTGCAATTACCGGCAATTTCTTGACAGCCATTGATTTCGGTTTCTTTTCCTGCTGACCGTTTTTGGAAAAGCCTTTAAAAGTCGCAGTCAGCTTTCGCAGATAATGGCTACAGAAATTATATTTGCATGCTGCTGAGGCACTAAAACATCGATTTTTGGCGAATTCAGAGCGAAAATCGCGTATTCGGCGAAAAGATCGGTGATTTCTTCAAAACCACTGTTTTCGGCCCAATGTTCGGGCGGCCAATTTGGGAAATGCCTACTCAGTACACGTAGAATGCAGTTATGTATTTTCTTCTGTTCTTGTTTTTCTTCGGTTTTTGTTTTTCTTCTGTTCCTGTTTTTCTTCTGTTCTTGTTTTTCTTCTGTTTTTGTGTTTTTCCGCCCCCTCGCGTGCCTTTTCCAGAAAATATCCGACGTGAAAGATAGAATTAACTTGGTATGGCCTAGCCCTGCTTCTTTTGAAAGATTACGAAGGCAGACAACTGCAATCGGTGCCTGCAATCAGGTTTATAATAGGGCTTGAAAGTGCTATGTCACAGCATAGCAACAATTTCAAAATTTCGAAAAGTGGATCCCCATGGATCCAGTTTTTGTATGGATCCAAGCACATTTCAAGCAGTCTTACTCACAGCAAGGTGATAAGGCCGGTGAAATCGTGACTGGGTTGGCTAATGGGGTAGGGGTGACAACTTGGTGGCGAAGAAAAAGTCAAACCTAAATACCACCTGAATACGACATGAGTAGATTGCTATGCACCCACACACTGTAGACAATAGCAAAGTCACACCTTAGTGGATCCAAAATTTGAAATACAACGTGAACTTACTACTCCCTGGCTGTTTTGATGCTATCAATTTCAAGCCCTATTGTGCCGGGCTTGCCCATAGTGTACTGAGCTTTTCTGTAACTTAGCTTGAAGGAGATTGATGTACGACCAACTGCTGGGGTTGATGGTTTTTGTGTTTGCGTGTAAGAATGTGTGCGTGCCTGTTTGCATGTCCCCACACTTGCATGATGGTTGTGTGTGCGTTTGTGTGTGTGTGTGTGTGTGCGTTTGTGTGTGTGTGCGTGTGCGTGTGCGTGTGTGTGTATGTCTGTGTTTGTGTCAGCTGCAGGTTAGGCCTTCCACAGCACCAGAAAGCCTGTCCAGTTCTGCTTCTGCCACTGCCTCTGCTGGGGTACGTTGAGCAACAATTTTCTCTGTAATGCCAGTTTCACACTAGGCCGATTTATCACCCATGCTTATATATGGACTCCGACATGAAATCGGCGAACTGTGTTGGACGAGTCAGACCACCTTTTCTATGTCGCACCCCTATTTTCAGCTTTTTGCAATATTGTTTTCATAATATTCTTTCTCCGCATCATCGAAATTGTCGCAGTTTGACTAGTGACTTGTCACTGACAACTCCATAAGCTAAACCATGCGAAAATTATTACACAGGATGTAGTCTGAAGTCTGAAGTCTGAAGTCTGAAGTCTAGAGTAACGTTTCAGGACAGTTGAACTGAGAGTTTCATCCGGAGATGATGGCCTCGCCGTCGCTTGTCGTCGCAATAGGCGAAAAAGTATCGTTCCCCAAAATTTCCAGGAAGGTTGTAAGTTGCTCACGCCTAATCTCAAACGCTTTGACTTACTCCATATTACAAGAGCTGCTATGCTTGGCGTCTGCTAGCTCTGCATAATTTCTACTTCACCACCAATGCAGCACTTTGGTAGAGAATACACGATCATTGCAAGGTCGATTGATTACCGTCCGCGGAATCACCTCGATCTTGAAATGAACTCTTTTTCGACCGTGGCATGCCCATTTACTTTAGCTGTGTGAGCACAGGTGATGCAGGTAAGTGTACTTTCACGTCCAGCGTGCCCTCTGTTTCATCATTACTAGTATGGTACCTGCACGTGCATGACTAGCATTACACGAACACGGCTCTTTCAGGCACTGGGTGTCTCAGCATTCCTTTCATGAATGCAAGAACGATGAATTATAATTATCGCTCTTGCATGCATTAGTTTGCTGACCCCTGGATGTTTCTCCAAGCGCTGCCGCTTGTTCCACAAAGTCATTCTCACCCCAGCTCAGGTAAAACAGTAATGAGCTTTTGACTGAATAGTGATAAGCACGAGAAATGTGCAGACGGCAACGCCTGACTTATCTCAGCTAGTCTAAATTATCAACACAGCGACATCAGCGAAGAAATTGCGTCTACTTTAGAATATTCAGCTTCCATCAACAGGTCTTCAGGAGCTTCGCCGTCTCCCAATACTGATGACTACCGTCTATGTCCGATTCCGTACCTGTGGTACGAGTGCTGGTGAGAAAATACCCCGTTTATATCAAAAGTCAAACTGCGACTATTTCAATGACGCGGAGGAAGTATTATATCCAGCATGTTGGTGTGTTGTTTACTTGTGTAATCATGCGGATGAACTTTGTGTGTGTGTGTGTGTGCATGTGTGTGTGTGTGTGTGTGTGTGTGTGTGTGTGTGTGTGTGTGTGCGTGTGTGTGTGTGTGTGTGGGTGTGTGTTTCTGCGTGTGTGTCTGTGCCGGTGTTATAAACTACAGGTACCTATTTCTATTCCCATTGCTGCACAGGACAGTCAGTCAAGTTCAGCTTCTGCCACTGGCCCTGCCGTGACTGGCTCTCCAGCAGCAACGATAGTAAGTTAAACGACTTACCCCTGTTGTACGATATCCAACAGAGTCAATGTCGGTAGCGACCAAGGTATACGCACAAGACAAAATATGCTATTTTCCCCAAATATGGCTCCTTTTTTATATCCCAGATGGTGTCTGATTCCCCCCACTTTGACAGTTTGGTGCAGTTGGGTGCATAGTTTTCAGTGCAACAAGCAACTCATGAATTATTGGATAGAAAGCAATGGCAGTCAGTGTAGTTCATGGATAGATACATTGTCATTCGCAATGCTTTTGCCCCCAAACCAACTAGTCCGAAGGCCATGCTAGGCATTGCTAAACCAGATACAGTAAAACCTGTAACTAAAGACCACAGTGACTAGCGACCGGCCTGGTACTACAGTAAAACCTGTAACTAAAGACCACCGTGACTAGCGACGGGCCTGGTACTACAGTAAAACCTGTAACTAAAGACCACCGTGACTAGCGACCGGCCTGGTACTACAGTAAAACCTGTAACTAAAGACCACCGTGCCTAGCGACCGGCCTGGTACTACAGTAAAACCTGTAACTAAAGACCACCGTGACTAGCGACCGGCCTGGTACTACAGTAAAACCTGTAACTAAAGACCACCGTGACTAGCGACCAGCCTGGTACTACAGTTAAACCTGTAACTAAAGACCACCGTGACTAGCGACCGGCCTGGTACTACAGTAAAACCTGTAACTAAAGACCACCGTGACTAGCGACCGGCCTGGTACTACAGTAAAACCTGTAACTAAAGACCACCGTGACTAGCGACCGGCCTGGTACTACAGTAAAACCTGTAACTAAAGACCACCGTGACTAGCGACCGGCCTGGTACTACAGTAAAACCTGTAACTAAAGACCACCGTGACTAGCGACCAACCTGGTACTACAGTAAAACCTGTAACTAAAGACCACCGTGACTAGCGACCGGCCTGGTACTACAGTAAAACCTGTAACTAAAGACCACCGTGACTAGCGACCGGCCTGGTACTACAGTATAACCTGTAACTAAAGACCACCGTGACTAGCGACCGGCCTGGTACTACCGACCACTTGGTCAGGCACGGACGTCTCATATTCAAAATGCACTATGACTAGCGACTACCTGCTGAACGCGACCAGCGACCGCCTTTTCTTGTCCCAATGTCGAATTTTGAGCCGTATATAGTGACCGCGATGTAGCAAATCAAACATTGCTCGAAGCTGCTTCTCGAGAATTAATTTTGATGATTTTCCATGGTCGTTTCGACACTACACTCTACAGCTGGACAAATGAATGCAGTCTCATTTTTACTTTGGAATCAGTGTGGACTGCACTACACCTGTCATAATTTCAAGTGCTGTCAAGAACAAACATGATAGGAAACGTCTTGGAGAACGCATCCAAAGCGCCGCATCACGTACTGGTACACACCAGTACAGTTTACGCTACACTACATCCACGTTGGACCGACTGAGTTTCCACTGTAGATCTACACCCTGATACCAGTTGCCAGTTTAGTCGCACACAGATGAGGATGGAGTCGATAGTGACTAGTCCACTGCCTGGCCAGGCCGGCGCTGCTCTGGAGTTTGTGGAACCCAGTGAGTCGACATACGCGTCAAAAGGTCGTATCGCTTCCGGTGTATAAAAACTTGATTTTCTCTCTCTCCAAGTGTTGTATGATCTGAAAGAAGAATGTCAGTGCGCAAGCGGTGGGGGATTGTATTATCTGCATTTTGACATACATAATAAAATGGGATCCATATATATGGTCGCGCGGTGCAAACCTCTACCTTAAGACCACCTGCCACTAAAGAACACTTTTCCGGGCACAAAGGGGTGGTCGTTAGTTACAGGTTTTACTGTAGTGGAAACGACTTCGGCGTTAATTAATTGTGGAAAAGTTGAATGATCCCACACCGGAGCTAGTGTTTTGGTGGATGATGAAGTTTGTACAGTGGACACTAACCCATACATGAGGAGGGCATGCTGGACTGCTTTACATTTATGTCAGATTTGTTTGTTTAACCCTAGAAGCACCGGAGGCATCATATGATGCATTTGCGAATTTCAAAATGGGATTGCAGTTATATGGGGGCTTAGAATCTCCCCAAATTTTGTGACCTTTATTTATTTTGTATTTTGTTAATGGCAGTGGGTTGTGTTTTCAAAAATTTAGTACAATTCCGAAATGGCAGGGATGCAACCTAGAAGTACCCCGCAGCATCATATGACTCCACGTAGTGTAATGAGTAGCATCATGACAGAACTCTATCCCTAGGCATAGCATTGTCTGTCTCCTGCTTTCTCCTTCCTACTCCCTACACTCACTCGCATTGATCTAACGTGCGTAAGTGTGTAAGAACCGCACCTTGCCTGCTGTACCATAGACTCATGCATTCATGTACCGCTGTACTTGCTGGCTGCGCATCACTAACCCTTCCCCTTCTATGGCACAGTCCCCGCACTGAATGAAGTACTCGGGTGCGCGTGCGTATTCATGTCTGAGTGCACTGCCCTCGGGCTCCATCTATACATGGCATCCCGTACTGGGCACGCTGCTTCCGGTCGCTGTTGTGTGCACGCAGCGCCGTAGTCTATTCCGCTCTCTGTCTTCTCTACACAGTGAATCCTGTGTAGAGCACTCTTCGTTTCTGGTCTCCTTGTAGTTAGTTGTGCTTTTCCGTGTCCGATAATTTTCCCCCTTTTGCAATAAACAGTCAGGCGAAACTACTCTAAGTAGCTACCGCTACATGGTGCAATGAACAGGATCAGTGAAAGAAAAATACTAGTAACATTAATCCGCAACGAACCTGTTTCGCAACGGCAGGATGGCTCGATTCCAGCCACCGGGAACGTTTGACTTCGCCGATCCGACGCAATGGGACGACTGGTTGGAGCGATTCCGCCAGTTCCGAAAAGTCACGAAACTGCACAAAGAGGACGAAGACGTACAGGTCGCAACTCTGCTGTACACGATGGGTCCACAGGCGACCACCGTATTCAAGCAGCTGACGTTCGCCGACGCGAGTGATCGAGAGAAATATAAGGAAGTGGAGACTAAACTCTCGGCCTACTTCAAGCCCGTTTCCAACGTCGTCCACGAACGAACGATGTTCGAACGCGCCACCCAGTCGCCATCCGAGACCGTGGACGAGTTTCTGCGTCGTCTCCACCGCATCGCGGACAAATGCGAGTTCAAGGACGCTCGCGATGACCGCATCCGCGATCGCTTCATGGCCAACCTGGTGGACAGGAAGCTCACCCTCGAGCTCCAGCTGCTCGACAAGCCAGACCTGGCCAAGGCTGCGACGCACGCCAGGAACTACGATCAGGTGCACCGACAAGTGGCGGCGCAGCGCCACCAATTAGAGATCTCTGCACCCCCGCAAGCAGCAGCAGTACGATGGCGCGCACCCAGCCAGCGCCGTCCCGACCACTCACCAGCTCTCCGCGCAGGCCAGGAGCCCTGTAGATGGCGTGGGAAACCGGCTACACACTACCGACGTGAGTGTCCTGCTCGGTCTGAGAAGTGCAGCTCCTGTGGTAAAATGGGCCACTACAGCAGGGTGTGCCTGTCCAAGGCCAGCAAGGCACCGCAACAGCAGTCAGCACACTCTGTGCAGCCGGCCAGCTGGTCGCCGCCAGACCAGAGCCAGTCACTGTTCATGGGTGGTGTCACCGATGCTAACCTGCTGGAGGGCGGACCCTGGATGCGCTCAGTGACGATCGGCTAAACACCGGTGGTGTTCAAGGTCGACACAGGTGCGGATACATCCGTGATGAACGCCAGCACCTTTGCCATTCTACAGCCCGCCCCAGCACTTAAGCGGCCATCCACCAACCTGATGGGACCCGATGGCGCCCGGCTCAATCTGGCCGGTCAGTTTTCCGTGGCCAGCCAGGCACTCACTGGCGAAGTTTTCAACCACGAGGTTTACGTGCTCGCTGGAGATGGTGCCAATCTGCTGAGCCGACAAGCCTCTATCCGCATGGGCTTCGTCCGACAAGGCATAGGCCACATCAAGGCAGACCCGACGCATGCTGAGATGTTGGGGTGTATGCAAGGCCCGCCCGCCACCATCCGGCTCAAACCCGACGCCCAGCCATATCACTGCCCAGTCGCTCGACGGGTGCCTTTCCCGCTGCTCCAGAAGGTAAAGGCCGAGTTAGCACGAATGGTGGACACTGGCATCGTCGAGCCCGTAACCAAGCCCACTGAGTGGTGCGCCACAATGGTGGCCGTCCGCAAGAAATCATGTGACGTCCTTATCTGCGTCGACCTCAAGCGTCTGAATGCGTCCTTGCAGCGTGAGTCCTTTGTCTTGCCGACTGTGGACGAGACACTTGCCAAGCTCGCCGGAGCCACGGTCTTCTCCACGCTCGACACACGCAAGGGTTTCTGGCAAGTACCCCTCGCCGCTTCTTCCCAACACCTCGCCACATTCATCACACCCTTCGGCCGCTACATGTTCCGACGTCTTCCATTCGGGATCACATCGGCGCCCGAGATTTTCCAGCGTCGGCTGATGGCCATACTGGAGGGAATACAGGGTGTGTGTGTCTTCATGGACGACATTCTAGTGTATGGTGCTACCATTGAAGCCCATGACCTGGCTCTACAACAAGTTCGGGAGGCGCTAGCGGCTGCATCCATGACTCTGAACCCGGACAAGAGCCATTTGCGCCAGCCGACAGTCAAATTCCTGGGCCACCGGATCAGTGCAAGCGGGGTCCAGCCCGATCCTGACCGTGTCGCGGCAATCCTACAACTGGCTGCTCCTACTGATGTCCCCCTTTACGCCGGCTGCTGGGCCTCTTCAATTATGTGGGGAAGTTCATTCCCGATTTGGCCAGCATCTCCGCACCTCTCCGTGCACTGCTCCGCACTGACGTCGCTTGGTTGTGGGACGCCCAGCAACAGGCAGCACTCGACCAGTTGAAGTCACTCGTCGTTAAAGCCTGCACTCTCGCCTTCTTCGACCCAGCCAAGCCTGCCACGGTCAGTGC